TTTGTTTTTTTGTGCATGTAATTATTTTGTTAAATTTGCTGTAAAGTTAATGATTTAAATAAAAAAGCAAATTGTTGAACATTTATTTAAATTAGTAGTACAATGCGTATGATTAATATTGCCGGGTAGGAGAACAATTGAAAAATTTATCATACGCCACAAGTTTGAAAAATTTTTTAAAAATAATTCCTCACAATTCAGAAATGTTAAAATAATTTAACATTAAAATGTTTACATACCAACCTACGCTATAGAGATAATATCCTGAAATTGCAATAATATCAAGAAATCTTTTGTATCCTTGCCCTGCCAATTTGTATAAATGTTAATAATATTATTTATATTTTTATGACTTTATTTATAGAATCATTTACATAATTTCCTCCATCATTACAAACGACAACTAGTAAATACTTTGACTCTATTAAGTAATTTTCTATTTTTATTCACTTTTTTTCTTGCAGATTAACGAAAACATATGGCAGCAAATCTAAAAATAACTACAACAAATGAATAAATTTTCCTACAACCATAAATTAATGCGAAACAATAAGAGTAAAGTAGTAGAAAAAATCGCCGCCACATTAATATTAAACAGAAAAAAGAAAACAACAGTTAAAAATAGAACAAACACCAGAAACGGAAGGAAATGCATGAAAAATATGGTAAATAATATACGTACATACATACTTATAACATGAATTCATACATAAGTAATATTTTTTCTCACGTACTTATACAAATATAACGCAAAACATTTGTTATTATGTGTGTATATGAATGTATGCATACCTACATAGTTATGTTTTGGTCTATATGATGCGCTTAAAGATTACTCCCACACATGCGTTAGTAAAATATGAAAATTTTTCTATTTTTTTTTTCTAAACAAATACAAATTATTCATGACAATGACAAACAGAACAATATGTATAGAAATTTATTGGTTGGAGGAAGAAGTGTATCTGTTAGTTGCAAATGTAACAATTTCTATATATTATTCCCAGTTACTTTACAGTCTTTTAGTACCCTGTATAATGATGTATCAGTTCAATATAAGATTGAAGATGATGTTGCTTAAGGCTAAAATGGGGACTGGGCTATGAACTATAAGGGACTTAACAATGAGCTGAAAGATAAACTGGACTGTGTACTATGGGCTGGGATATGTACTAGACTATGGACTAGACCATGGACTAGACTATGGACTGGACTGGACTCTTAACTAAACTATGAGCGTGGATATAGACAAGATTATAAGCTAGACTATAGCCTAAAATATTGACTATACTAGGACAAGAATATTGACCAGATTACAAACAAGATTATGGTCTGGACTATAGACTAGACCATGATCTAGACTATGTACTAGACTGTGACTAGACTATGATTTAACCTATGACTCGACTATGATTAGAATATGATCAGACTATGACTAGACTATGATCTAAACCATGTAAATAGAAGACAATAAAGTAGACTATGGAGTAGACTATAGAGGAGACTATTGAGTAGACTATGGAGAAGACTATGGAGTAGACTACGGAGTAGACTATGGAGTAGACTATGGAGTAGACTACGGAGTAGACTATGGAGTGGACACTATGGAGTGGACTAGACTATGGAGTGGACTAGACTATGAAGTGGACTAGACTATGAAGTGGACTAGACTATGACTAGACTATGACTAAACTATGACTAGACTATGACTAGACTATGACTAGACTATGACTAGACTATGACTAGACTATGACTAGACTATGACTAGACTATGACTAGACATGACTAGACTATGACTAGACTATGACTAGACTATGACTAGACTATGACTAGACTATGACTAGACTATGACTAGACTATGACTAGACTATGACTAGACTATGACTAGACTATGACTAGACTATGACTAGACTATGACTAGACTATGACTAGACTATGACTAGACTATGACTAGACTATGACTAGACTATGACTAGACTATGACTAGACTATGACTAGACTATGACTAGACTATGACTAGACTATGACTAGACTATGACTAGACTATGACTAGACTATGACTAGACTATGACTAGACTATGACTAGACTATGACTAGACTATGACTAGACTATGACTAGACTATGACTAGACTATGACTAGACTATGACTAGACTATGACTAGACTATGACTAGACTATGACTAGACTATGACTAGACTATGACTAGACTATGACTAGACTATGACTAGACTATGACTAGACTATGACTAGACTATGACTAGACTACTGACTATGACTAGACTATGACTAGACTATGACTAGACTATGACTAGACTATGACTAGACTATGACTAGACTATGACTAGACTATGACTAGGGTATGACTAGACTATAACCAGACTATGACTACATTATGACTAGACTTTACTGAAGCTGAAATAATCATCTCTTAGTGCGGTAGATGTTCAATAGCCTACTGGGCGTAACATTACTAAAGTGAAAACCATACATACACTTGGTAGTTAAGCAAATTTCTACACTCACTAGCAAACACATTTAATGCGGTGTGAGAGAGTTAAAGTGATGTACCAAGTGTTGTGGTAGAAAACAAAGAGTTGTTGTCAAAATATGTTTGGGTGTTGTTAACGATTTGCTTAAGAGGGGGTGAAATTTGATGTTAAATTAAAACAAGTACTTTTGCTATATGCATGTGAAAGTTCACAAAGTTAACAACAGCATGTAATACAAAAATGAAAAGTTATCAAACTCCCACTCAGCAACAAAATTGTGAAATAATATGACAAAAAATTGTAAACAGTAGGTGGTCGAATCGAGAACAAATGTATCAAAGATTTTCTACATTTAAGTGATAAGATATGAAAGTTTTTAGATAAAATTATATAGTTTAGTAGTTTTTAGTGTTTACCCAGATGATTAAATTTTATTAATATTGCACAAATGTAGTTAAAGTTTACGCCCACTTTTTATTATATTTACCGAACTAAACCTAGCTAGTTGCCATTTTCTACTTTAACAACCCATAGTGCTATTAAAAGCAACAAGTCATGTAAATACTTGTTAATAGGATTATTGATATTTATTAACATACACAATGTCTGACAGGGAGACAGTAATTGCGTCACCAACTATTTTTTGTATACACCCGCTTGCTTACTTTTTTTCCGAGTTTTGTAACTAAGAACAGCAAAATCAACATTTTTTATCATCATAACTTTATTAAGTTCAATAAACACAACGATAATGTCAGCGATTCCAACAATGTTATGTCTAAGGATGTTGTGATAATGATGATTATAATGATAGTTGTCACAACATTTACACTATTAGTAACAACATTAATAGCAAGAATAATAACCGTAATAACTGTAGTTTTTAGTTAAGCCGAGACGATGTAAGTTATAACAATAATATGGCTCTTTTTATTTCAAAGGAGACATACATATATTAAAAACTATACTACATACTTATTATAATTTGTATACAAAATTTCTGACATTAGATTTATCAAATATTAAATTTTATACGTTATTTTAGTTAGCAACACTGTCTTCAAATTAACATGAAAAAATTATAAAATTTATTAAAAAATTAAGAATAACGATGACATCAATGATAGGTGTTGTGGGTGATTTTTATGAACCATCCACCAGTTAGAGTGGTACAACTACCTCCGCCATTAACATTACAATTACATTTTGTTAGTTAAGCTATTAAATGTTAAATTGTATTCAAGTAGTGCAACCATTGATCGGCAGGAGTTCTGTGTTAGACATTAGAGGGCGTCAGAGTTATTAACATTAAGACGTCATCTTCATAATCAGAGACGTTATTTGCAACATTCCACATTATTTTTGTAAAAGCTAACAACAGAAAATTGAAAACAAGTTCAAATCGTGTTCATTGTCCAAATAGCAGTCAATGCATATTGGTCACACTAAGTAATTGAATACTAAACAAAATTTGTGTTTGTTTTTAGTTCAGTTCTAGTTCAGTTTTAGTTCAGTTCTAGTTCAGTTCTAGTTCAGTTCTAGTTCAGTTCTAGTTCAGTTCTAGTTCAGTTCTAGTTCAGTTCTAGTTCAGTTCTAGTTCAGTTCTAGTTCAGTTCTAGTTCAGTTCTAGTTCAGTTCTAGTTCAGTTCTAGTTCAGTTCTAGTTCAGTTCTAGTTTCAGTTCTAGTTCAGTTCTAGTTCAGTTCTAGTTCAGTTCTAGTTCAGTTCTAGTTCAGTTCTAGTTCAGTTCTAGTTCAGTTCTAGTTCAGTTCTAGTTCAGTTCTAGTTCAGTTCTAGTTCAGTTCTAGTTCAGTTCTAGTTCAGTTCTAGTTCAGTTCTAGTTCAGTTCTAGTTCAGTTCTAGTTCAGTTCTAGTTCAGTTCTAGTTCAGTTCTAGTTCAGTTCTAGTTCAGTTCTAGTTCAGTTCTAGTTCAGTTCTAGTTCAGTTCTAGTTCAGTTCTAGTTCAGTTCTAGTTCAGTTCTAGTTCAGTTCTAGTTCAGTTCTAGTTCAGTTCTAGTTCAGCTCTAGTTCAGTTCTAGTTCAGTTCTAGTTCAGTTCTAGTTCAGTTCTAGTTCAGTTTCTAGTTCAGTTCTAGTTCAGTTCTAGTTCAGTTCTAGTTCAGTTCTAGTTCAGTTCTAGTTCAGTTCTAGTTCAGTTCTAGTTCAGTTCTAGTTCAGTTCTAGTTCAGTTCTAGTTCAGTTCTAGTTCAGTTCTAGTTCAGTTCTAGTTCAGTTCTAGTTCAGTTCTAGTTCAGTTCTAGTTCAGTTCTAGTTCAGTTCTAGTTCAGTTCTAGTTCAGTTCTAGTTCAGTTCTAGTTCAGTTCTAGTTCAGTTCTAGTCAAAGTTCTAGGTTCAGTTCTAGTTCAGTTCTAGTTCAGTTCAGTTCAGTTCTAGTTCGTTCTAGTTCAGTTCTAGTTCAGTTCTAGTTCAGTTCTAGTTCAGTTCTAGTTCAGTTCTAGTTCAGTTCTAGTTCAGTTCTAGTTCAGGTCTAGTTCAGTTCTAGTTCAGTTCTAGTTCAGTTCTAGTCAGTTCTAGTTCAGTTCTAGTTCAGTTCTAGTTCAGTTCTAGTTCAGTTCTAGTTCAGTTCTAGTTCAGTTCTAGTTCAGTTCTAGTTCAGTTCTAGTTCAGTTCTAGTTCGTTCTAGTTCAGTTCTAGTTCAGCTTCTAGTTCAGTCTAGTTCAGTTCTAGTTCAGTTCTAGTTCAGTTCTAGTTCAGTCTAGTTCAGTTTCTAGTTCAGTTCTAGTTCAGTTCTAGGTCAGTTCTAGTTCAGTTCTAGTTCAGTTCTAGTTCAGTTCTAGTTCAGTTCTAGTTCAGTTCTAGTTCAGTTCTAGTTCAGTTCTAGTTCAGTTCTAGTTCAGTTCTAGTTCAGTTCTAGTTCAGTTCTAGTTCAGTTCTAGTTCAGTTCTAGTTCAGTTCTAGTTCAGTTCTAGTTCAGTTCTAGTTCAGTTCTAGTTCAGTTCTAGTTCAGTTCTAGTTCAGTTCTAGTTCAGTTCTAGTTCAGTTCTAGTTCAGTTCTAGTTCAGTTCTAGTTCAGTTCTAGTTCAGTTCTAGTTCAGTTCTAGTTCAGTTCTAGTTCAGTTCTAGTTCAGTTCTAGTTCAGTTCTAGTTCAGTTTAGTTCAGTTCTAGTTCAGTTCTAGTTCAGTTCTAGTTCAGTTCTAGTTCAGTTCTAGTTCAGTTCTAGTTCAGTTCAAGTTCCGTTCTAGTCCAGTTCTAATATAGTTCAAGGCTCTACAGTAGTCTATCATGTAGACATAAATTTTTGTATCAGATTTTATTAAAATTTTACCTTCGCTTTAATATTAAATGAAATAATTTTTAATAATTTTTTTATAGGAAAACAATAAACTAACGATAGCTTTACAAATAAATGGCAGGGAACCTAACGGGGAACAAAGCGAAGAAAATGATACAATACAAGCTGGTAGCCAGGAAGACAATGAGTGCGAAACAATTAAATTAAAGGCGAAAATTAATGCGATTAATGATGATAAGATAATTAAAGAATTACCACTACAGAATACAATCTATGAAAATAGTTGTACTAATGCAGAAAGTGAAATGAAAAATCTGGAAGTTGTTGAGGAATTATTAAACGAGAACAGCTCTACCATTGCCATTCATGAAGTCGAGATATCGCCAAACATGGAAAATGGTAATTTAGAATGCTCTTCTAATGATTGCGTGTGTTTTTGTAATGGTGAGGATGGTGCTCATCATGTATTGTCGATTGTGGAAAATGGATTCTTTAGTAATCATAGCAGTAGTGGTAATAAGGAATCTGATGATGATGACGAGAGAGATGGAGAGGATGATGAGGATATTCCAGATAATGGTGATGACTATGCAGCTGACGATATTGAAGAGAGTGACCTGCCAAATTATTCACGCAGCTGTGTGTATGAGGAACGTATAATAGATTTTGAAAATTTTCGCATAATCGAACAAGTTATCGATAATAATTGTGAGGGTAAACATACTGCCGCTAATAATGTGAAGTGCAGAAATGCTATAGAGTGTAAAGGTAATTTAAAGGAACAACTGGCAAATGTAACTGAAACTGAATCGAAGGAGACGGAGGAGGAAGCCAATGCCCAACTAGAATTACCTAGTGGCTCCCAAATATACAGGCTTCGACACCCATATATGTCAATCCTTCTTTAAATTTCTCCTGCTCTGAACTGGTGGCCTTTATTGGCGAAAGCTATCAAGTCATTGATAATGCTCAGGCGTTTATAATAATGATAAAACGAGTAAACCTAAGAAGTCTACACAATTTAAAACGAAATCTGAATCCTGTTCGGTGGGTAATTCACCCTTTAAGCGTAGTAAACGTTCGGGTTTTGGTTCGGGAAATGCTTCGACATCCAATCGTAGTGTGGATGATAATAACAATACGGCGCGTGTTACGGGTATAACTGCAGCGGAACGTTTAATGCAAAGTTTAAATTGTGATGTATCGCGGGAATTGACTCAAACGAAACGTGTCGAAAAACGGGAAATTAAGACGAAAAGTAAACCCACGGTTAGTGTTAAAACAGCCACGCCTACCAAAACTCTTTTGAAGGCTTTAAAGTCTAAGTTGACACCTTTGGCACCGCCATTTCAGCCAGCAGCCAATAAAAGTAAAGAGGCCAAGCTTACAAGCGGAGCTTCCAGCTCAGCTACTTTAGTAAATTATGAGCAAACCACCATCTACTATCACCAGAATGCCCAACAGCAGCAGCAGCAGCAGCAGCAACAACAACAACAACAAATTTTGGCCAACAACATGTTGCAAGCTTTGTGCTTAAATACAGCAAATCAACAGCATCTATTGCAACAACAACAACAGGTGTCACCCTCACAACAACAACAGCAATTGTTTCTAGCTCAACAGCATCATCATTTGCAACTCCAACCGTCACCAGCACCACCACAACATCAGCATATTTTACAGACCCATAATCCCACTCATCCACAACATCACCATCAACAACACTGTGCTCAAAATATTTTGGCAATGTCTGCTGCCTCTTTAGCAGGTCAGGGTATGCCCCACATACACCTGCCAACTGCTGCCGCAGCTTCAGCAACAAATAATAATGGCAATTTATCATCAACGGCAACAGCTGCTACTGCTGTTATTAATGTGGCCGCAACAAATCCGGCCTCTCACCATCACCAGCATCACCATCTTCTACCGATACATTTAATATCGGCTGTTGGTAGTACAGGAGGTAGTGGTGGTGGTGTGACCTCCTGGCCTTTGCTAGAACCTAACAATTCAGCCAGTAACAATGCTACAGCCACAGTTACAACAACACCCATTTATATGGATTTTAATGGTGAATTACGTTCAATATGTCCAGCTCATGGACCACCACCAACAGCTGTTACAATTACAACACCCCTGGCGCCAATAACAAATCAAGCATCAACTGCATCAACATCTAACCCCAACAACATAATGCAGCAACAAAATACAGTTTGTTTAAATCCTTCACAATATCCGTTAACTGTAACAGCTCAATATCATGCTGCAACACAACAACACCAACAAAATCAGGCACAACTTCATCACCATCTTCAGCAACAACATCATCATCATTCGCATCATCTAACTCAGCAACAACTTCATCAGTCATCGTTGGCAAATTCACAAAATTCTCCATTACGCATAAAATCAACTGCTTCAACTCAGGCCTCAAACTCTTCATCGTCGTCCTCATCTACATCGGCAGCAGCAACGACATCTTCATCAACGGCTGCTGTAGCAACTACTTCTACACCTCCTCGTGTTGTTCTGCAATTGGATGCTGGCGTTTCATTGCCTCTACAGATTGCTGGCAAACGCAAGATATTTCGGGGTGAGTGTACTTTTATTACGAATCATACATTTTTTTCTGTTCAATAGTTACATTTTATTAGAGTGGTAGACATTTTGAGAATATTCACATATTATAATAGGCCTAAATCGAAAATAAATTCTTATAGACTATAGTATAGACTATAGTATAGATTTAGTCTGAACCAAATATAGTATATACTGTTCTCTTTCTTATTCTACACATAGACTATAATCTGGACTATAGTATGGACTATGGTATAGATTATAGTCCTGACGTATAGACTATAGTATATAGGACTAAAGTGTAGAGTCTACACTATAGTATGGAATATAACGTAGACTATTGTCTTTACTAATTATAGACTATAGAGGTTAGTATAGACTATATTATAGACTATAGTCATATTGACTATAGTATAGACTATAGTATAGACTATATCTTGACTATAGTATAGACTATAGTCTTGACTATAGTCTATACTATAGTCTTGACTATAGTATAGACTATATTCATGACTATAGTATAAAATTATAGTCATGATTATAGTATAGACTATAGTCTTGACTATAGAATAGACTATAGTCTTGACTATAGTATAGACTATAGTCTTGACTATAGTATAGACTATAGTCTTGACTATAGCATAGACTATAGTCTTGACTATAGTATAGACTATAGTCTTGACTATAGTATAGACTATAGTCTTGACTATAGTATAGACTATAGTCTTGACTATAGTATAGACTATAGTCTTGACTATAGTATAGACTATAGTCTTGACTATAGTATAGACTATAGTCTTGACTATAGTGTAGACTATAGTCCTTGACTATAGTATAGACTTGACGATAGTATAGATTTTAATCTTTGACTGTAGTATAGACTATAGTCTTGTCTCGACTATAGTCTTGTCTTGACTATAGTCTTTGCTATAGTCTTGTCTTGACTGTAGTCTTGAGTATAGTATAGATTTTAGTCTTTACTATAGTCTTGACTATAGTACAGACTATAGTCTTGACCATAGTATAGACTATAGTCTTGACTATAGTATAGACTATTGTCTTGACTATAGTATATAGACTATATTCTTGACTACAGTATAGACTATAGTCTTGACTATAGTATAGACTATAGTCTTGACTGTAGTATTGACTATAGTCTTGACTATAGTATTTACTATAGTCTTGACTATAGTATTGACTATATTATAGACTATAGTCTTGACTATAGTATAGACTATAGTCTTGACTATAGTATAGACTATAGTCTTGACTATAGTATAGACTATAGTCTTGATTATAGTCTTGACTATAGTATAGACTATAGTCTTGACCATAAATATAGGCTGTAGTCTTGACCGTAGTATAGACTATCGTCTTGACCATAGTATAGACTATAGTCTTGACTATAGTATAAACTATAGTCTTGACCATAGTAATAGACTATAGTCTTGACCATAGTATAGACTTTAGTCTTGACCATAGTATAGACTATAGTCTTGACCATAGTAGACTATAGTCTTGACCATAGTATAGACTATAGTCTTGACCATAGTATAGACAATAGTCTTGGCCATAGTATAGACTATAGTCTTGACTATAGTATAGACTATAGTATTTACTATAGTATAGA